GATCTCGAATAAGTCGTTAGGGTCGTTTAATGTTGGGGTTGGTCTCAGTTCGAATGTAGGGTCTTGGATCAGAATTCAAGGTCAGGTCATGAGTCAGATCTCATGGTCGAATTATGAAACGGTTGCCGGGGTCGTGTCCATGTTCGGGTGTCAGGTCTCGATCGATTATCGGGGTTGATTTCCGTTTTAGAAATTATTTTTCTAAAGATTTTCTACTCTTTAGCAAAAATAAAAGATATTTTCTAGAAAATGTTTTTCATTCACCAACCAAACACTAAAAAATATTTTCTACTCACCAACCAAACATAAGAAAATAAGTTAGGAATCCACTTATTTTTCAAGAAAACATGTTCTAAAAAAACATTTTGCTTCATACCAAACACACCCCTTATAATGTCTCTCGTATGGAATAATAATTTAAAATATACAATATCACATAAAATATTGGGCGTCTGTTATTTTTGCAACTTTCTGAATGGTCTGAATATTTGCAGGAATGAAATAGAGAAATACAGATTAAATGTACATATAATGGTGTTCAATTATCATAAACAAAATTTCTTAAAGATTGGTTCAGAGATTAAAAAAAATCAATTATTTTTACCTAAAATATAAGCATATATGTATAAACAACTATCATGCTGGCATATTACACATCTTTATTACTAAAAATGAATTTATTTACCCCTAAAACTGACATGACAAAAAAATAATAACAAGAAAACATAATCACGTGCATCAAAAAAATTAAAGTTAAAAAAAATAATAAAAAATCAAAATATTCCTTACCCCCTCCCCCACCAACACACATGTCTTGTTAATCACATCCCACTCATTATCCTCTTCTTCTTAATATTTTATTTTTCATCATAGCCTCAACGCATCACAACAACGTGAGTTTGGTGATGTTGTCTGTTGTATTTGTTTGTTAGTTGTTCAAATCTGTAAGTGCGGAGCTCATTGGAATGTCATTGAAGCCATGGATGAAATTTTAAGCTCGCCGAAATAGCTGCAAAACAAATTAAAATAAAAATAAAAATTAAAAAGGTATAAGGAAGAGGGTTTACGGACAGGGACATAGCTATACTAGGCTAAGGTTGTCCAACTGAAAAACCCTTTGTTGAAAATTTACGCCGTATACATAAATAAAATGACACCTTAAACGATTAAATAAGTCATCTTGACACCCTTTAAACAATAAAGTTTCTTAGCCCAGTGATTTCAGTCGTTCAGCTGAAGCTAAACTCTTTGTAGCTCGATTCCCTTTGACTGTTTTTTTTTTTTACATTTTTAAAAGAGCTCCCAATTAATTTCTTAATCAGATTTAATAAATTTGTTATTTTTAAAATAATTCAAAAATAATCTTAAATTAGAGAAATATAACTTAAAAATTTAAGGGAAAAAAATAAATGTTTAGTAGCCAATTGAATTTCTAATCGCTTTGACTTTTGATTTTGTTTTTTTTTTACTAAAAATTTAAACAAAATTTAAAAGTAGTTATTTAATTTAAAGTTAATAAGTAAATCCTATTTATTTATTCTATAAAGCTACTAAAATTGAAAAATGCTCCATATAAAATTTCTTTTAATATAATTCGTTTGATTCTACTCTTTATTTTTATGTCTCATTGTTAGTCATCATAGATTCGTGAAAACTTGAAGTATAAAAGTGATTTCATTCTAAATCGAATTTTCTCTCTATTTTTTCTTATCCGTTCTCTTTCTATTAAATAAACATAATTAAAGCTAAATAATATGAAGTTTGATTTTAAATTTTAAATTTAAATAATTAATCATTAGTGTTACGTAGTTTGATTTATAAAATTTAAGTACACCCATTTGTTAAATTATTTTTATTACCTATGAGATTTTTAGACACTCTTTGTGAAATTTCTGACTACGCTACCGATCAAGGATAAGAAAATCTGATTTAGGATTTTGGGTGGCTATTTTTGGTAGTTTAGGTTGCTGCTTAGTTTTTCTGATGAAACTAGAAATAAAATGGGTGTGATTTAGTGACGAAGAAGATATAATTATTTGAGAATTTTAATAATTAATTAGAAATTAATTAGTCTAAAATAGAGTTAATAAAAGAAAAATTAATTAACCAAAAAAAAAAAAAAA